TCTCTGCTCCTCTTCTCTGCTCCGCTTCTCTGCTCCCTTCTCTGCTCTCTTCTCTGCTCCCCTTCTCTGCTCCCCTTTTCTGCTCCCCTTCTCTGCTCCTCTTCTCTGCTCCTCTTCTCTGCTCCTCTTCCCTGCTCCTCTTCTCTGCTCCTCTTCCCTATACGACCTTCCTTCAATACACATATATCGCAGCCTATGCCTCTTCACCCCGCAGTCTATGCCTCGCTACCCTCCGCCGCTTTTGCACACCATGCTCGACCTGTAACATACGCTTCTCCCTCTCATTTCTCTGATCCCCAGAATCTCACACCCGAATTCACTTTCCCTTCCAACCTCCTGATCAGTTAAGTACCATGCTCCTGTCTCCCTGCCATAGTCCTGTCTCCCTGCAGCCCTTTTCGTCTTGTTTATTAGATTGCACCTCTTCCTGCATTTGGAATTGTCTTGTCTTGTCTTATCCTGCCCTGCCCTGCCCTGCCCTCCTGCTCCTGCTCCTGCTCCTGCTCCCCTGCTCCTGCTCCTGCTCCCCTGCTCCCCTGCTCCTGCTCCTGCTCCTGCTCCTGCTCCTGCTCCTGCTCCTGCTCCTGCTCCTGCTCCTGCTCCTGCTCCTGCTTCTTCTGTCTTCTCGTTCTGCTGTCCTTCTCATGCGATTACTACAACACTAGTCAGCTCTGCGAAGGTCTTTTTCATGCCATGACGGATGCGAGATTAGGTAGGTGGGGTGTGCTGATGACCAGGGGTACTTCCTAGTTTTTTATAGGGGTTTGACAGCAGTAGATGGTGATGGGGGGGGTGGGTTGCACGAGGAACGGGGTAGTGGTAGGAGCACATGGAGCGCAACATGCTGAGACGGGTGGCGATGGTGGCGGCGGTGGCGATGCTGATGATGATGGCGGAAGGAGCGAGAGGAGATGAAACGATCGAGAAGAAAGAACATGTGGCAGCAACACAAGGACAAGACTCACGCATGGCGTCAGACACAAGCTTGCCCATGGGCTCGCGCGAGAACCAAGGGTTGGGAACCAAAGGTAGCGAATCCCGGGATCAAGATAGTCTCAAGGAGCAAGACAACCAAGACAGCACGAGTGATAAGACCAGCGAAAAGGAGCAGCAAGAAGCAGCCCGTGAAGCTCAGGAAGAGGAGGATGAGGACCAACTCTTAAGTGCTGTGGCGAAATTCAAAGAGAGGAAGCGAAGAGAACAGGAGACGGCCGAGAAGGCTAAGAACCAGTTTGTGTCTAGCAGCTCCATGTCTGATTCGAAGTCAAGTCAGGAGGATGAGAGTCCTAGCGGCCCTCGGAGCTCCCCAGCTCCCATCCAGTTCATCGCCAACGAGACCATGGACGAGGTACCTGACGCTGTCGCGTCCTCCTGCTAACATGACATGCAGCTTGATGCGGAGCGATTGGCTTTCGAGGCGGCACAACGAGCTGTGGAGGAGGAGGAGGCTAGACAAGAGGCGCTACGGTGAGCGACGAGATCACAAGCTGGCGCTGACTTGGTCAGGTTGGAGCGAGAGGCGGAGGAGGGTCAGCTGAACGAGAGGGCCGGGAGAGGGCGGGCAGAAGCTCAGGTGAGGAGCGAGGGAGGAGGAGAAGCCTGACGTCCCTCGCAGCGCTTGTTCAACGAGCAGGAAGTGAAACGCATGCATGGAGACTTCGCGAAACCCGTCGAGCGCAAGTACAAGGAGCAGCTGCGATGCTCGGAGTGTCACGTCGGTACGCGAGTTGAGGCGCGAGGGGACGCGAGGGTGACGAGGAGAAGTTGTGGTGGGTGCTCGAGGACGACTCGCGCGAGGAATTATCGAGAAGCTTGTGTCCCTGGGGGAGAATGTGCTAGCGATCGCGCGGCCCGTGCGATGTGGTGAGAGGAGAAGGCGGAGGAGGACCTGCGATGATAGTCATACAGGAATTATTTCTGTGCCAAGATGGTTTGCAGAGCTAATGGTCAAGTCCAAGTGAGGACTGACTCTTGCATACTCCCCTATTCCCCTTCTTCCCTCCTTCTTTCTCAATCACTTCTTCTCTTCTCCTTCTCCTTCTCCTCTATCCTCCTCCTCTCAACTTTCTCCCTTCCTTGCCGCTCATCTTCTTGCACTTTTCCTCTTCACATCCTTCCTATCTTCGTACCCTCCATCCCTCCTTCCCTCCTTCCCTCCTTCCTACCTGCCTTCCTTCCTCCTTCTCTCCTCCTTCTCTCCTCACGGCGGCAATAGAGTGCGCGGGATGAGCCTCGAGTGGGATGGAGGAGATGTCACGATCCCTCACTCTCTCAGCTTCTCCTTCAACAACGCCAAGGTGACTGCTACCCTCCGCTATCCGCCACCCCACCTCTCCTTTCTCCTGTCCGCTCTCCTCTCCCTCGCCTTCAACGCCCCTCCTTCCCCTTCTTCTCACCCCCCTGCTTCCTTTTCTTGTCTTTCTCACGTGTCAGCTTAGGCTGTCATCTTCGCCGCCACCTCCACGCCAGACAGTGAGGTCTGTGTCAACGGCAAGCTCAACGGCGCCAAGCACGTGGATCGAGACGGTCTCGCCAAGGTTGCGACAGTTGCGGGTGAGCGAGAGGAGCGAGGAGAGAGGAGGAGCGAGGAGAGAGGAGGAGAGAGGAGAGAGGTTGAAGAAAGCAGCAAGGAGCAGTCAGACAGTAAGAGGAGGGAGGGACTTGGGACCTGAAAGCAGGAAGGGAGAGCAGGGAGAAGGGAGGGAAGGAGAAGAATAACTCGTCTCCTGCAGTTCAATTCGGCGTCGAACGTCTCATCGTCATCAGCGAGGCAGGAGTTTCTCGCCCCTTGCAGACTTCGATGCAGAGGTAGCGAAAGATGAAGAAGAGAGGGAGAGAGGGGAGAGAGGGGAGTGGTTTAAGAGAAGGTCGAGGAAAAGAGGACAGACAAGAAGAGGAAGACAGAGGTGGTGGTGGTGGTGAAGGAGGAGGAGGAGGAGGTGGTGGTGGTGGTGGTGAAGGAGGGGGAGGTGGTGGTGGTAGTGGTGGTGAAGGAGGGGGAGGAGGAGGAGGTTTCAGGCACGTGGCAGGCTGTCAAAGATGTCCTTCAATTCGAGCTCGCTCAACAAGCTCAGGAGCAAGGTGAAGAAACAGCCCTTACGTCCTGCTGATGATCCCTTCCTGATGGTTCCCCGTCCCTTCAGTACGAGGGCGAGAGGCTCATGGCAGACATCGTCAAGGTTAGGAGCAGCCGTCGCCTCCCGCTCTCGCTTGACCGTCTCCTCAGAGCTCCAACGGCTCTCTCACCTACACCGTGATCCGGGCGGCGAGGATGGGAACAAGGTGCTGCCGCGTCGACAGGATGAGGAATGACGGTTTGAGCAGCTCGCACGAGAAAGCCTACAGCGTTGAAGCCAGTGAGGTCTGCACGAGACAGGGCGACAACCTGCCATGGGAGGTGCGAGGAGAAGAGAAGGAGGATCATTTGAGGAGGGGAGGGGAGGGGAGCCTGAGGACAAGAGGGGAGGGGAGCCTGAGGACAACAGAGGAGCCCAGCTGGACAAGAGGGGAGGGGAGCCTGAGGACAAGAGGGGAGGGAGCTTACGGACAGGAGGAGGAACTGATTTCTTTCAGGCCTGGGCCTCGCGCTCTAAAGTGGCTGCGATTGCTGTGGAAGCAATCTTTCAAGCCTCAGCTCGCAACGTCGTGATCGAGGCAACGAGAGGGGAGGGGAGAAGGGAAGAGGAAGAGAGGCGGGGCAGGGAGAGGAGGAAGCCGGGGGGAGAGGAGGGGGGAAGGGAGAGGATGGGGGCGCTGAGGTAGGAGGATCAGGTGGAGGACATCGAGTCGTACCAGCATCGGAAGATCGACGAGGAGGACAGGATGCTGTCCAAGTGCGGTCAGACGTCGTGGGCTGCTCACTTCAAGACGAGGATACAAGATACTCTCCAACATATCCCCTCAAGGTCCCTGCCATTTTCTTCCCGTTCCACCCCCTAAATCTCCCTCCTGTTCCACTTCCCGTCCCCCCTCACTCTCTTCCCTAGTCTCCTTCCTCTTCGCACTTCACTCCCACCCCCACCCCTCCACCAATTCTCCGTCTCGCTCCCTGTCCTCACACCCTTGCAGCTCCCTGAGGAGACGCGAAGACCTGCTGCTCCTTCAGAGGTCAGTCGGTCACGAGCTTCCTCGTCCTCACTCTCCTCCTAGGGACTTGCGCGTCATCAACGCACTGGAGGGGGCGATGCCAGAGGCAGCACACGCGGGTGACTCTCTTCTTCCTCTGTCCTAATCTACCCCTGCCCCTGCCCCTCCACCTTCCCCCTCCCCTCTTCCCTTCCCCCTCCCCTCTTCCCTTTCCCTGCCCGCTCTCTGGGTTCTCTCTCTCCTCCTCTTGTAACTCCTCACGTGTCATCAGAGCGATCGAGCCTGTCACGAGGAGCGAGCTCTAGCTGGACTCGCTACTAGGCTAGGGCCGCTGAGACCTTCAACTTAGGCTGGCACAGATAGTCGGCAACACTCAGTGACTGACACTCTCCGATGATGTTCCGAGTCAGTGCCGCCGGACGGCCCTCGGCCGGACTCAGCCACTGTCACCGTCAGTGACTGCCGGCGATCGGACTCCACCGGCCGTCACGGCCCCGGGCTGGCGTCTCCCGGCCCCTATGCGAAAATTTACTCAAAAGGCTCAAACTCGGCCCCCTCGCTGTCATGAAAAAGTTTTAGTTACCAAAAGTCTAACCCCACCCCTCTACCCCCCATATCTCTTGTAGAAGGACCCCTACAGTTACATCCCTAGCTAGAGCCCTCTAGCTCTTGACATCCACCCCACCGTACTCAATTACACCACCCCACCATATATGAGTGCCGAGGCCTCGGTAGCTACACGGGGTGGTTACGCGTCAGAATTCGCACAGACGGGTGGGTGATAGATTTAGCTGTACCGGTACTTCGAGGGGAGGCATGCCAGGCTTGAAGGGGGTGGATACCTGGGGGTGGGGTCATAGAGCGATGCTATGAGAGGAAAGGGAGGGAGAGGATGGGGAGGTGCAGGCCTAGTTGGAGTGAGAAGGAGCAGGAGGAGGTGTTGGGTCAGCAGGAAACGAAAGAAGAGAACAAGAGCTTGAAAAGAATCTGAAAGAAGAGAACAAGAGCTTGAAAAGAAGCTGAAAGAAGAGAACAAGAGCTTGAAAAGAAGCTGATAGAGGAGAACAAGAGCTTGAAAAGAAGCTGAACCTATACAGTGAGAAACTGAGACAGAATTGGAGGACTAGGTGTGATTATTAGCAAAGGGACGAAATCGATTTCAATGAGAAGTCAACTGAAGCAGAAACATTTATTCAAGAAAGGAACAGAGCCTGAAAGATCATCTTCCTTGTTGCATGGTTTGCAAATTGATCTTTGTGAATGGCTTACAATGTTGCAGGGTCACAAACAAGTAGGAGTGGTATTGATGGACATACATGCAACCATCTGCTGCCTCCCTCGTGTTCATGACAAGCGAAAGCCTCACAGCTGCGTGATATCCTCCTTCCCTTCAATATCCTTCTCTCTTGGTTGAGCGGGTCCCTGACATCTCAAGCGCTTTCGCGGAGAATCGACCGCTTTGTTTGAGAGACTATGCGGTCCAAGTCGATCGCTTCCATGCTTCCTCGCCTTGCCACGGCTATTCTTGTTGTCTTGACTTTTTCTGCACCCACAACTGTCATGTCCTTCCAGGTTGTTGCGCTCTCGAGCATGGGGACGCTCAGAAGTGGGTCTGGGACGAGGGGAGCTCGCTCTGGTTGTGGGTTCAGACTCAACAAGATTCTCGGAGGCTTCGCTTCCTCCCGGTTCTCATGCTCTTCCGAGCAGGAACAAGACATGTGCTCTTGGAAGGCTCTAGGAGGCAGAATGACTCTGCAAGCTCTGCCGGACCCGTCGGACAAGATTTCTAAGGAGCAATTGAAGGAGGGGGTGGTTGGAGGAGAGGACAAGGTCGGGATCGAGCAGCAGGTAGTGGAGGAGAGTCTCATGGGGGATCATGTCGTCTCCGAGTTGTGGGGGGAGTGGACGGAGAAGCAAGTGAAGGCTGCGACGCTGCTATGGGTGGAGCAGTTCGTGATCGGTCTAAAGCTCTGTCCTTTTGCTGCCGAGGCCGTGAAGGGTCTGCGGGTATCCGTCTCGTCTGCGCTCGACCGCGACATGGCGCTGGACAAGTTCGACCTCGAGCTTCGCTGGATCGTCGGGCTGGACAAGTCAAGTCCAGCCTGCACTCTGATCGTTTATCCTCCAAACCTCTTCGAACACAACGGCAAGACGTCTCCTCTGTGCTCGGGGGAGAGCAGCGATGCCAGCAGACGGACGCCGGAGATGTGCCAAGGCTTCGAGGGCTTCATGTCACTGGCTACAGATGCGCGCGAGATGGCACAACAGTTCAATGCGGTAGGGGAGCAGGAGGAGGTTGTAGCAAGCGGCTGACACGATCGCAGGCACATGGCCAAGACATAGAGACCGAGACTCTGTGAGTGAATGCTTGCTCAGGCCCTTCCCTCCTCCTCTTCCTTGATCTCTCTCCTGCTCATCCTCCTTTCGCCTCATTCTTGCTCCAGGTTGCTCACGTTTCACCCCAACTCGACTTTCAGTGACTCGCCCTCGGATCCTGCTGACTTCGCGCTGCGCTCGCCGTTTCCCACGGTGCTGATTCTGAGAGGAACGGATGTCAGGAACGCAGAGGAGATCTGCGAGCAGCAGGGGCGGGTGACGGAGGACATCGCGATCGCGAACGAGGCGAGGCTGCGGCAGGTGGGGTACGAGGAGCTCTCAAGGATCTTCACTGGCCTCTTCTCCTCGTCTCGCACCTCCGAAGCCCAGCAGATCCTGAGGCAGGCGCAGGAGGAGCGCGAGGCCGTGCTGGCGTCCTCCACGTACCCGCTCTCAGACCCGATGGCTGACGGCATCGACGGCATCGACGGGCAGGACTTGAGCCACGACCCCGTCGAGCTCATCCACGAGTGGGGAGGAGACGCGAGCGAGGATACGGCATGGGTGGAGTACCCGGCAAGGGCGTCTGTGAAGCCGCCGCCGCTGAGGGAGGAGGAAGAGGAGGGAGGGGAAGAGCTCAACGCACAAGACCTGCAGAAGGTTTACGATCCTTTCGGCTATGGATGTGAGGAGGAGAATGGCGAGTCGAAAACAACTTAGAAGAGCCAGGAGACGAAGAGCTCTTGGGGTTAGAGAGGAGCGGGATTGCTTTGTGTCTTTATTCTTTTTTTTTCCGAGGCAGGATGGTCTAGGTGTGTTGACCCGTTTTTCCCTTTGCATTCACCAAAAAAACATGACGACAGTGATCTTGTTCGCGTGCCTGCTCCTTCTCTCTTTCTCTCCCTCCTCCCTTCTTGTTCGCGTGCCTGCTCCTTGTCTCTTTCTCTCCCTCCTCCCTTCTCTTGCCCGACTGCCTTCATCTTCCTCGTTAGTTCC